ATAGCGGCTTAGCTCATTTAAAAATTCAATTTCCCATTGAAATAACACAGAAAATTTTTTTTCTTCGTTTTAATTAGATTTTTCGCTGTTAAAAACTTTTTTCCCTAAAAACTTTTTTATAGCTTTTGTAGTAAATTAAATTCTCTACAAAATCATCCCATTGCTCGAAGACCGTATAACCAGTAGTTTCAGAGTTATAGCGCTGGAAATATAAACTTTTATAAAAATAGACCTCAAATTCCATTTTATTTTTAAGGGATGATTTTGTAGAGAATTTAATTTCCTACAAAAGCTATAAAAAAGTTTTTAGGGAAAAAAGTTTTTAACAGCGAAAAATCTAATTAAAACGAACAAAAAAATTCTTCTGTGTTATTTCAATGGGAAATTGAATTTTTAAATGAGCCAAACCGCTATTGCACTTAGAACCTTTTACACGGCGGCATAATTTTTTATTTTCTATAAAGTATTAGATTTTCTGGTATAACAGCGAAAAAAAAAATATCGCCTAAAAATGACACACCCTAATGTACATATGTTATAATAAGAATAAGCATAATATAATATATATATATATATATTATAAGTGTGTTTGTATAATAAGTTTATTTATTTTGTTAGTATATCTGTACAGATTGTGACTAAAATGTGATAATGGTAATATGTAGTCATAGTATTAAGTTCAAATTTTGAAATTGTATTTAATACTAAATATGTAACGTGTATATAGAGATGTCCCTCTATAAACAAGTTTTCATTGTTTCTTGGGATGAATAAAGTATTTTATTAATATTATATTGTTTATTTTAGTTCACACATTAATAGTATTTGGATTATTTTGAGCCTGTCTAAATACTTCCTCTTTACTTCCTGAATAAAAAACTCCGATATTGTCTGCAAACAGAACTGTTTCACCTTAAATATTACATGCAGTTAGGTCATTAATGTAAATTAGAAACAGTGGTCCCTGCGAAACTCCATATTGAATTTTTTCCATGTTACTGTTTTTGCCATCAATTTTTGTATACTGAATGCGGTTGTGGAAGTAATTAGTAAATAGTTTGAGGTCTCTATTCTTAACTCCAATTGTTTCTAGTTTTTTTGGTAGAATATCCAGGTCAACCACGTCAATTTAAAATTTGTTCCAGATGAAACAATTAGAAATAACATTTTTTTGTTTCCTCACTTTGCAACTCACTTAGTTTTTAAGAAAAACAAAACAAAATCTTATCAGTCTTCTGACTCAGACACATGGTCAAAGAAATATTAAAAAATTTAAAATGACAAGAATACATTTTACTAGGAATATAGGTATTTTGAAAACAAAACGTTAAAGATTGATTCTAATTTTCATACAAGGAATCTCATTTGAAATTTGTTGGCAATAATACTATACAAACATTAAAATATCAACAAAAACAATAATTTTAAAAACTTTATAATTCAATATTTTAATTTATAAATAATCATTTCTAGCTTTTTAATATTTGGCATTTAATGAAGTAAATAAAACTAATAAATTTCAAAACTAAATAATTAAGATTTTAAAATGTATGCCTACATACAGGGTGTTTCACATTCGTGGTCCATTAGAAATTTTAAAATATTTTAAACAAAATGATACATTAACCAGAAGTCTACCTGAATTAAATAGTTTTCGAGTTATTAATTGTTTTTGTTAAAATTTGAGAAATGCGCGTAAATCAAAAATAGCCTATAACTTTTGTGCTATTAGGTTTGCAAATATATATTTATATAAGGTTGGAATTTTTGAAATCTTAAAACATTATTTAAAAGATTCCATATGAATTCTTTAACATTTTGCAACAATTTACCTGAGAAAACCCAGGGCAATTTTTTTTATTTTAAATGCAACACCCGGTATGTTTTTACATAATTAAATAGTAAATTAAAAAACCTTTCGATTGATGATACTATTCCTAATACCCGAAGTTAATATATTAACTAGTTAGGGGTGTTAATATATTAACTAGTTAGGGGTGTCAATCCCGAGCCCTTTTTCCAATTCCGGGCCTTTCGGGACCAAAGGTCTCACCCGTAACAAAATAATATTTAAAATTTTAGAAATTGTTAAATATCTCTGAAATTATATTTAGAAATTGTTAAATATCTCTGAAATTATAATTTCAGAGATATTTAACAATTTCTAAAATTTTAAATATTATTTTGTTACGGGTGAGACCTTTGGTCCCGAAAGGCCCGGAATTGGAAAAAGGGCTCGGGATTGACACCCCTAACTAGTATGTCCCCAGAATCTGCGCAGGGGTTCTAACTATAGGGTATTTAAAAGTTAGAAAAACAAAATTTATTCAAGACATTTTAAACACCTTGTAGTTAAAATGACAAACTTTACTACCTGAATGTTATTTTTTGACAATCAAAACATTTTATAAGGAATGGATTTTTGAAAAATCAAAAATATAAATATCTGGAAAAATCAACTTTATAATTTCCGTCGTAATTTTTGTATTCAGAATTCGCTTTTAACAACTTTTTGTTATAAAAATAATAAAAATAAAAAATAAAGGTACTTCTTTTGACTCGATCTCACGTTTTACTAATTTTTGAACACCCAATTTTTTTTTGGACTTCAAAAGCATTGCGTGAATTTTAGAATTGTCAACAATACATTTAAAGCATACGAACTGTACATCATTTTTAAATAAATAGGTAGTTTTTTCACAAAAGAGAGGAAGGCAGAAGTCTTACTCGACAAATTTTGTTCAATTGCACTGCTAATTGGCGCACGTTTAGTACTCGATTTCGATTGATTATTCTTTATATCATTATTTAAAAAACTCAACGCTTAAATGCTTATATAGTTACGTTAGTGTGTGTATTTTATCTAGGGATCATGGCGAACTATTGTATTTTTAATTGTAAACAAAATTCAAGAACTAAATCGTTGCATTTTCATATTCTGCCAAAGTATCCAATTCGGTAAGTACATTTGCTGGTGCAGAATTAACTAATGATAACTTTATCTAATATAATTTATATTTAAGTTTGGACATTTTTAAGAAAGTAGTAAATAGTATATTACACTACAAGGGCAGAAAGTGTGAGATTCCTGCACTGCGCGCCATGATGCCCGAGGCGAAGCCGAGGGCATCATGGCGCGCAGTTCAGGACTCTCACACTTTCTGCCCGTGTAGTGTATACTATTTTTCTTACTACCCTGCAGAAAATACGGGAAAAAATTAAATGTATATAAAAAAATTTGTGTCAAAATTAAAATCTGACGTTTAATTTAATTCTGACGTTTACATTCAAAATCAATCAAACTGTAGCGTTGTCATGGTAATTCAGCGGTGCCAATACAGTAAAAATAAAAGGTTGTATTTTAATTAACAAATTACTACTTTATAACAAATAAAAGTACCATTAAACACTTAAAACAACATAAAAAGTAAAAAAGTAATAACATAAATTGTTTATTTGTTGTTATAATTGCAAAATTATGGTTTAAAACTGTCATATTTTTGTGTTTCTCATGTTGGCAGTACGAAATTTAAATGTTAAGCACGCGACTAAAAAATTTTTACTCCCGCTATTAGAGTGTGCGCGTATAGCTTGACCAATGCAAGAAACGTAAACTTTCTGCCGTGAAATCGGGGACGAAACAACGTAATTTGAGTCGAGGTAGTAAGAAAAAATAATTTTTTCTTACTACCAGTTTTAAACCATAATTTTGCAATTATAACAACAAATAAACAATTTATGTTTTTACTTTTTTACTTTTTATGTTGTTTTAAGTGTTTAATGGTACTTTTATTTGTTATAAAGTAGTAATTTGTTAATTAAAATACAACCTTTTATTTTTACTGTATTGGCACCGCTGAATTACCATGACAACGCTACAGTTTGATTGATTTTGAATGTAAACGTCAGAATTAAATTAAACGTCAGATTTTAATTTTGACACAAATTTTTTTATATACATTTAATTTTTTCCCGTATTTTCTGCAGGGTAGTAAGAAAAATAGTATACACTACACGGGCAGAAAGTGTGAGAGTCCTGAACTGCGCGCCATGATGCCCTCGGCTTCGCCTCGGGCATCATGGCGCGCAGTGCAGGAATCTCACACTTTCTGCCCTTGTAGTGTAATATACTATTGCACAAACATAACCTTAAAATCAACCATTTTTTTTGAGTTCTCTAAAAACGCCGACAAATGCATTTTAAACAATAAAATATACCTACGAATTCAAGGCAACATAAAATTATATATAATACATAATATAATGGTATTTTACCGTTTGAGTGGAGACTTTAAAGAATTCTTAATCAACGCTTTAATAATGCTAAATGCTGTTTAAATTTAGACGACTTAATTGTTTGACGATTTATACTGAATTAATGTTTACACTTTTAACGTTAATCATTACTAAAATTTGTATTTATTGTATCTAATAGATACAATTTATACTTACAGGGACTGAATGAAATTTATTTCTTCATTCGGATTAACACTGTTTATTGGAAAACCGATAAAAACTCAACCCAGGATTTCCTCTTGAAATACACCCAACAACAGAACAAATCGTGCCACGGTTTTTTTTTCGATATTTTTTAACATTTTTCCACATTCCCAAAAACACTCGTTTGTAACTCACGCGTTTGACAGCTGATTATCAAAAGTTGTTGTTTTGTTACGATGATAACAGCCGAGGGGTGGCACTACTAGCAATACTTTTTTAGCATATACAGGCTATCCGTTTTTTAATGCCTAACATGGGTATCTCTTATCAGCAGTTTTAAAAGCTGGCAAAAATATTATGGCTGATTAAAATTCCCGTTAAAAAAAAGTGCCCTAATAATGTCAGAATCAGTAAGTAAAGGCTACCTTCAACTGTTTTTCAATACACAACTATGTATTTCTAAAGATAAGTAAGATACCCATGCTTAGCCTAAAAAAATTATAAATAATCCTCAAGTAGGAATCCTACTGTAGGATCCTATAAGGCTATAAGATACTTACAATATTGGAAATGATACTAATTTCCCATGTGCTGTCATGTGATAAAGTCCATAATTAAATAATTTAATATCATTGTTATCCTGTAACAAAATATTTTCATTGCTTAAATTCCTATGAATAATATTTCTTTTATGAAGTTCGTTAACTGCAATGATAAGTTGAAATGCTATTTTCTTTATGTCTTCCATATCAAACAACTCTTTTTCAATATAGTTATGCAGGCATTTGCCACAATATTGCGAGACAACAATGGTTCTTTCTAAAATAATTTTGAACAATAATTTGGAGTGTGAATAGTTCAACAAGTGAAACTTACCATGTTTTCCTCTAATTATATCCAAATATTGACACAAATATGGGTGGTTTAATGTTTTTAGCATTTGTGCTTTTCCATAGATAATAATTGAATTTGGTGTAAGGGGCAACCCATTACTACCACAAGAATCACCTAGATGTTCTTTAGCAAAAAAGGTTAAAGCCCCAAAACGAAGTTTTGAGTCTTTTAAAAGCAATTGTTGCATTTTAATACTATACTACACACAAATACATTATTGTAAATATTTATTATCCAACACCAGTCTATACACAGAACATAAGTCTATAAGACCATGCCCAACACCCTAAAAAACAAAAGAATGAAAAATAACGTCCGTCAATAACTGACAGAAAATTTTGAGGTTATTTCTTTTGTATTCAAAATAAGTACCACCAATTTATAATAGATGGATTGTTAAAATTAAGCAGGTTTTGTTCAATAATTTGTTTTAGATAAAAATTAAATATTTAAGGAAATAAAAGAACATTAAAAATCGAAACCTTAAAAATATATTGAATTAATATATCAAAATACAAAAATTAATCTTTTTCAGATATAGCAGTAAGATGTCTGTCTATTTCAGCTTCAGTAAGTTTTTTGAATTTGGGCTCATCTTTAGAAACAACACCAACTTCAATTTCTGTAGGCTTAAAGTCGACAGATAAAACGCTTGACAAACAGCTTATAGCCAATTGAACAACATCGTCATGTTGCAAATCTTGTTTCTTCTTCAGTTTTTTCTCAAGATAACTGTTTGCTTCTGTCTGCTTGGATCCCACGCTGACAGCTCTGTAACCACAGTAGTAACCAGCAGGGTCTGCCTTGTACACGCAAGGTCCAATTTCAGTATCATAACCAATCAACACCATTGAGCAGCCCAATGGTCTCATTTCTGCGTTTTGAGTGTAAACCTGGGAAATATCAGCTACTCTTCTGCACAAAGCATCGATTGGCATTTCGTAGCCGAACTTGTATTTAAATTGGGCTGCTTCATACCGGGCCCTTTGCACTTGCGACTTGCTGTCTGCTATCATTCCAGTCATAACACATCCTGAATGCTCGGTTAATTGAAATAGATGGGTAATGGTGTTGGCATCGATGAGTTTGTCTGGGATTTTTCTTTGCGTAACGCAGACGGCCGTATCAACTCCTTTTATTGCCACAGAGGTTAGGCCGGCTTGGTTAATAGCCTTAAAAGCGTACTCAACTTGGTACAGACGTCCTTCCGGCGAAAAAATCGTTATGTGACGATCGAAACCAGCACTGCTTCCTCTGGACATGGTGAACTTTTTTAACAAATACAAATATTGCAACTAATCGTCGAAAACAATTCACTCGGTGGCTGTCAAAAACGGTGACAATTGAAAATGTTTAGATCGCTAGGTCGACGATAGATGGCGGTTTGAATATTGAATGTCATATACTTACTGGTAAGTATAATATCATTGAGTAAAGAAGTTTACTCAATGATAATATATATAATATACATATTATGTTGAATGTTCCTCCCTTCCTCCCGTAAAAGATGAACAATACGAAAGCCGTAGTTCCGTTTATAGATTCCCGTACGGGATTGTATTGTTTATCTTCTACGGAAGGAAGGAAAGAAGGAAGGCAATCTATAAATCAGGATTAAAGCCTGATTAAAAAAAGATTAACAATACGAAAACCGCTGCTTATAAATTCTCGTACGGTAATCTATAAACAGCAATACGGTTTTCGTATTTTTCATCTTTTACGGGAGGAAGCAATGAATGAAGGAAGGCAATCTATAAATCAGGCTTTGTGCCATAATTATGATTTATAAAATATATAATACCTAATTTGTAAAATATATAGGTAAGTAAATATTTTGTTTGAAATATATTTCAAACAAAATATTTACCTATATATATATATATATATATATATATATATATATATATATAAATATTTACATCTCTTCTGTAATGCTGCGTCCATACATTTGGTTTTGCACATGTAATTCTGCGTCTCAGGTATTTCTGCATCCATATATGGACGCAGAAATACAATCTTTGTTAAAAGGTTCTTTTCTCAGGTGACTATAACAGGAATTTTTTTTTATATGGACGCAAAAATTTCGTCAACATCTAATAGCCCCATATACTGTAATTCAAACAAAATCCGGTAGGGGCGTTTGAATCGGAATCGTATACTTCAAATAACTGTATATTTTTTCTCAACCTTACGATATATTTGCGTCCCCTTAAAATATACATAGGTTTTATCAATAATTAATATTTTCAAGCTTAAGCGTTCGCCGAAATGAATATTTTTCTATCTGTTCTTACGATATGCTTGCTTCCGCTCTAAATAATATTGTCTAGCAGTTGCAGTGGTTTTTTTAATAACCTCCAAATAAACTGCGCACCACTCAATGTGTCGCGACCAAAAATTTCGTCCTTTTTCAAAACGACATAACTTTTTTGTTTCTTGAACGATTTTATTTTGGTTTGTGATGTCTGCTAGCCCCATTCTCTGGCAATTCATGCTATAGATATGAAGCTCACGGTTCTTCAAGTAAATTTACTACAGGGTGATATGTAAAACAGTGAAAAATTTCAATAAATTCATCCAAGCCCCGTTTGTAAAATAAATATTTTTTTCTCGTTTTTACTTTGAAATAATGAAGTATTATGTCTTACCTTGAAACTTTTTCAAATTTTTCGAATTGGAATCTTAGCAATAAAAATATGATTTTTTTTTCAATGGAGTACATTCGATGCTTTTTTGTAGGACATACACTTAGCCTTTTTAAGAACAAAAAGATTAGATGGTGAAAGATTGTTCCTTGAATAATTCTGAACAAGCGACAAGCAACAAACTTCCATTATTTTCAGAGGAACCTAAGCAAATACCACTTTTTCAAAATTACATTTTAGTGAAAATTTTCGAAAACTAAACCTGAACCGATATTTACGTTCGTGACATGTTTTCACTAGTAATACCACTAGAGGTCAAATTATTTCCGGAAATTTTTTCGAGCTCATGAATATTTTGAAAATTATCCCGAGTCGAAGACGAGGGATAATTTTCTAAAAATATTCATGAGGGAGAAAAAATTTCCGGATTTAATTTGACCTCGTGTGGTATTCGGTAAGAAAATTCCACACCAAATTGTGTTTAAATAATTAAAATTTATTTTTTGATTGAACTTGACCTCGACTTGATTATTTAGTTACCATGGCAACTAAGTCAACCCCAACCTAAAAGTTATTTCAGTTTTGAAGCTGTCAAGCGGCACGACTTAAAAAAATGTGAAATTGTCTGCTGTAATGATCAATCATCGTGCAATGACTTATTTACCCGCATTATTAGAGGATTGTGGCTCCTACTTGAAGAAAGAAAATTTGTTTTGAATTGTTCACGAATATTTGCATCTTAACTATTCAAAACTCAAAGTGCTAAATGGAAAAAAAGGTGAATAGAATAGTGCCTAATATTATATATATTTTATTAGACATAGACATTTAATTTATTTCAAGTCCTGCATTTTCGCCATTAAGAAGAAAGGAGGTGTCCAACGAATATAGAAAACATCTAATAAACTTTGTAATGGAAATGTATCAAAATTATCATGTAAACAAATAAAAACCAGATTGTCAAAAAAATATTCTGTCATTATAAACGTCAAAAAATTTTCACTAGTAATACCACTAGAGGTCAAATTATTTCCGGAAATTTTTTCGAGCTCATGAATATTTTGAAAATTATCCCGAGTCGAAGACGAGGGATAATTTTCTAAAAATATTCATGAGGGAGAAAAAATTTCCGGATTTAATTTGACCTCGTGTGGTATTCGGTAAGAAAATTCCACACCAAATTGTGTTTAAATAATTAAAATTTATTTTTTGATTTAACTTGACCTTGACTTGATTATTTAGTTACCATGGCAACTAAGTCACCCCCAACCTAAAAGTTATTTCAGTTTTGAAGCTGTCAAGCGGCACGACGTAAAAAAATGTGAAATTGTCTGCTGTAATGATCAATCATCGTGCAATGACTTATTTACCCGCATTATTAGAGGATTGTGGCTCCTACTTGAAGAAAGAAAATTTGTTTTGAATTGTTCACGAATATTTGCATCTTAACTATTCCAAATTCAAAGTGCTAAATGGAAAAAAAGGTGAATATTTCAAGTCCTGCATTTTCGCCATTAAGAAGAAAGGAGGTGTCCAACGAATATAGAAAACATCTAAACTTTGTAATGGAAATGTATCAAAATTATCATGTAAACAAATAAAAACCAGATTGTCAAAAAAATATTCTGTCATTAGAAACGTCAAAAAATTTCCAGTATAATTCGCTGTTGGGTACCCACGAGGAAAAAATTTCCACTAAAATTCAACCGTTGCCATGGTGATCTATCAAAAATACACGTTTTGATTGGTTAAAAATTACAGGTGTGGAATTTTCTTCATAATTTTGACCTGATTGTAATTCAGTTGTCAAATTTAGGTTTCAGATTAAACCAAAATCACCAAGAATCAATATTCGAAAACAATTCCTGGATGATAAATGTCTTAATAAAATCTGATTGCTGGATTTTACTGTTTTTTACTGTGTTTTGCATTTTTAGTACGTTATTATCATGTCACTGAATGATCAAATCAAGGATCAAATGATGAAAAATAAATGCCAATAATTTTGTGTTGGTGGACGACAATGCCTGTCCGCATCGCGCTTATATCGTATATGAATATTTAAGGGACCATGATATTGAGAGAATGAATTGGCCACCTTTGTCTCCGGATATAAATCATATTGAGCATGTCTGGAGCAGGATGAAACTGAAGATGAAAGAGAGGAAAGGACGCATGGAAAATTTGGATGAATTGGTAAATTCGATTCAGGAAGAATGGGAATCCATGCCCCAGTAATTTCTAAGGAACTTGGTCTAGGGAATGCTCAGGAGGGTTAACGAATTATTACGGGTTAGGGGAGGGCCAACGAAATATTGAAAGTTATTATTGTTATTGTTTGTTACATTTTTCTGTTGAATGTTGAAGTTTTTATTATGATTATATCTTCGCATAAAATTTTCAAAAATAAACAAACAAATTTTGTATTTAACTTTATTACCAATTAGGTAGGTACTTATCAGTAATAAGTTATCACTAGTGTGCAATATAAATGTAATTTATGTAACATTATCCTAACCACTCAAACAAAAATGAATCCCCAAATGGCATTGGCAAAGGCATGTTATTGAGACATTTAACAGCCGGGAATTGTTTTCGAATTTTGATTCTTGGTGATGTTGGTTTCATCTAAAACTTAAATTTGACAACTGAATCACATCAGGGGTGCGATTCTCGAGTTGAGAGAACGCTATTCTCATGAGAAGTGGACGTGTTTCACTTAAGTTTTGACAGGCTGCATTCTTAAAATCATGCAATAGTTTGGTTTTCCTAAAGCAGAAAAGAGTTTCCTAGAGAAGAACGCACTTACTTATCTTAAATTCAATAATGCAGCCTGTCAAAACTTGAGAGAAATGCCCACTTCTCCTATGAGAAGCGTTCTCTTAACTCGAGAATCGCCACCCAGGAGGTCAAAATTATAAAGCAAACATGTCACGAACGTAAATATCGGTTCAGGTTTAGTTTTCGCAAGGTTCATCTGAAATTAATGGAAGTTTGTTGCTTGTTGCTTGTTCAGAATTATTCAAGGAACAATCTTTTACCATATTATCTTTTTGTTCTTAAAAAGGCTGAGTGTATTGCCTACAAAAAAGCATCAAATGTACTCCATTGAAAAAAAAATCATATTTCTGTTGCTAAGATTCCAATTCGAAAAATTTGAAAAACGTTTCAAGGTAAGACATAATACTTCATTATTTCAAAGTAAAAACGAAAAAAAGATATTTATTTTACAAACGGGGCTTGGATGAAGTTATTGACATTTTTCACTGTTTTACATATCACCCTGTAGTAAATTTACGTGAAGATCCGTGAGCTTCATATCTATAGCATAAATTGCCAGAGAATGGGGCTAGCAGACATCACAAACCAAAATAAAATCGTTCAAGAAACAAAAAAGTCATGTCGTTTTGAAAAAGGACGAAATTTTTGGTCGCGACATATTGACTGGTGCGCAGTTTAGTTTACCAACTACGTGTTTGTTTAATAATAATATTATTTGTGTTTGGGTAAGTATAATTGTTTTTATTATTTATGATATTCATTTTATCGGCCAAATTTAAACGAAAGAGATTTTTTAATTTTGTTATTAATAGTTTAATTAAAAGTTTAAAAATAATTTATTTGATTAGCGAAAATTATTTTTTAAAGTAACTTTTTATGGGCCTGAAGAAAAGTCATATAATTAAATTTTTAATA